TCATCAAAAACAATCAGATTCTCCCCGCTTTCCCAGTCTCTCTAGTTGGCTTGATGCCCAGGCCTCCTCTCTTTTTCTTCTCTTTTAAGTCATTGTCTCTGGCACCATCACCCGCCAACCCTACTCCCTACCCTCCCATACTAGCACTTAATATATCAAATCAATAAACCTCTCTTCCTCCCTAAGCGTTCTAGTTCTCTTGAAGTCAGTTCCTGAGCCAGTAGTAGTGGAAGATCTGGCTTTAAAAACCCTCACTAGATTCTGCCATCCCATATCTCTGTCCACATTTTGAGAAAGCTGTCTACTCTCAGTGCTTCCAACTTTCATTATTCGATTAAAATTCAACTCTCCAAAGTTAACAATCATCTAATGACCATTTTTCAATCCTCATCATACTTGATTTCTCTGTAGCATTTGACACTACTGATCACCTTCTTCTCTAGGTTTTCTCAGCACTGCTCTCTGCTGGTTCTCCTTCAATATGTCACAGTACTTCTTGGCATCCTTTGTTGGATCGTCATAACCACTAACTGTGTGTCCTAAAAGACTCTTTCCAGCGCCCTTTTCCCCTCTTTACTTTATGCATTTAAAAACATGACATGTGTCCATTGGCTTCAACAGACTTCCAAAGGGGTCAGGGTCCAGGACACAAAAAAGATTGAGAACCTTAGTTCTTAAGAAACTGAGTTACACTAAGAACTCTCAAGCAAGCAGCCTGACAAGTTATTTGTGATGACCCTTTTGCTTTGTGATCTGAGTTTAGGCTAAAAGTCACAGCTCTCTTATCCTATGTCTTCCCAAGTAGTGGGCTCAGAGACTCTGGCAGTCCTGTCAAAGTGAAGAAGCTCATAAGAACATTAGCATCGATAATGAGCACCAGTTTTCTGGAGCTCGTTACCTGATGAAATGTGTGTTTGTTGCTCGTTCTTAGCCAGGTGAAACATCTGCAATTCATTTTCTTCTTGATTCATATTCAAGCCCCCAGACAAGGTTTAAGGCTGACTTCCTTCTAAGAAGTGTCTGTTTTCTTGTGATACAAGTGGAAAAGGCAGTAATAAGAAATGCTTTGATTCTTGTCTCTAGAAACTGACTCCAAGGAGGTCATTTTCCCAGAACCTGAAACATATGATGACTGGAGGTCTTGCCATTCATGGCTTTAGGAATCTGGAAACTAAGACAATCTTATTCATCCTCCCAAGCTGTTCTCTCTTTTCCACAATGTAACCTTGAAAAATATCTAACTATAGAATCTTCTAGTACCTTCCTCTGAAATGTAACAAATCAATATTGAAGTGATTAGTATTTCACTTTATTGCTTTTTAAAAAGACTTCTCAATATAGAAATAGCTTACAAAATCTTTGCATAAGACAACCTGTGCCAAAGTAGGCAATTCTGTTTACTACATGTAGGAATAACTGAGTTCCAAGGAACCTGAATCTACCTCTTGGCTTGGCTAGGTTTTAGGCAGCAGTGTCTACAAGGAAAGAGAAACAAATTTGCCAACAAAGCAGCTAAGGATAAGGTAGCTAGAAGCCAAGTCCCTTCCTCAGAAGTGATAAATAAAGAAATGAAACTATGAATATTTACATGGCATTCAAATTTTATCAATTCAGTACGGCATTCAACAGAAACAGAAATATTTTTCTTTCTCTCTTTTTTTTTTTAAAGAAAAGAGTATGCTACATATAAGAAGTAAAACTTTTCCTTATTGAGGTAACATGGGGAAATCCTAGTGGTATGATTGGAAATAATCTAAAATTATTTGACTTGATCTGGGTCATATGAGTGACCTATCACAAGATTTCCTGAACACAGCCAAAATTTTCAGGTCTCGTGGACTCTGTGGACAAAAGCAGTTTTAACAGATAGAATCTTGAGTATCTTTTTATATTTGTAGGAATAGTAAGGATCTGCCTGAAGATGAGAACCTCAGGGCCTATTATGGCTATGTGAGCTATGAAAATAACAGCCCCTTACACGTTTTCACACACACATAGGTTTTTACATTTACATGTTCACATAGGTTCTCTATACTGTCTAATTTTATTCTAATGCCCCATTTTACAGATGAGAAGACCAAGAGTAAATGGCTTCCTCAAACTCACATAAGGAATTATTTCCAGACTAAAGGCTGGCAAGCAGGACTCCTGACTTCCAGCTTTTGTTTTCTTTTCATTACATCATACTTATTCCCGTATGGGAATAAGTAGCTAGAGGCAACATTGGCTAAGAAATAGTGAGTGTATTTCTTTTCCTTAAAAAAATTATGAACTTATATAAGTTTATATCAAGCATCACTTTCAAGACTATTTACAATAAAAAGTATAGATTGGGTGATAACATATGCCATTTCCTCCAAATTCCTTTTTGATCATTGGCTAAATATCCACATAAAAATAACAGTGTTGTTTAATGTTGGAGCAGCGAGGTGGCACAGTGGATAGAGCATTAGAGCCCCAGCCCTGGAGTCAGGAGAACCTGAGTTCAAATCTGGCCCCAGACACTTACCAGCTCTGTGACCCTGAGCAATTCACTTAACCCTATTTCCCTCAGTTTCTCATTTATAAAATGAGCTGGAGAAAGAAATGGCAAATCACTCCAGTATCTTTGCCAAGAAAGCCCCGACTGAAAAACGACTGAACTGGACTAAATTAAAATTTTAATATCACCGTAGTCTATGTGGACATTTGTCCTTCCAGTTCTACATTTGTTGATTTTGTATTTCCATATTTCTTTTTATCTCTCATTTGCCATTCTTGTTCTACGGTAGCTTTACATGCATACTACAGCCTGTTCACCCAATAATATAGCTACAACTGTGTTTGTGTACAGAGCAGTTTGGTGGGTGCAGTCAGTAAAGATCTGGGCCTGGAGTCAGGAAGACATGAGTTCAAATCCAGCCTCAGACACTTACTGGCTGTGTGATCTTGGCCAAATCATTTAACCTCTGTCTGCCTCAGTTTCCACAACTATAAAATGGGGGTAATAATAGCACCTACCTCACAGGTTTTTTTGTGAGAATCAAATAAGATAATATTTATAAAAACACTTAGCACAGTGCCTGGCACATAGTAGGTACTGTATAAATGCTTATTCTCTTTGCCTTTTCCTTTTCATTTTTTTTTCAAATTACTTGGGAGCATATTTCTGATAATGGTATCATGGGGTCAAAAGGTATGATCAGTTTTATGACGTTTCTTGTGTATTGCTGGCTTACTTTTCAGAAAGGTTTTTTTTTTTTTACCAGTTTGCATTGTGGAAATTTCTTAAAATTTTTGTTATCTTTTTTTATTGCCTAAAATATTTCCTCGTATCTCTCCCATTCCTCCCTCTCAGAGAGGCATTCTTTACATTGATTTTTTTTCAAAAGAAAAAACAATCAGCAAAACTAACTATACATCAAATAATAGGAAAATATATATCATATTTCATGCCTCTCAACCTCCCACATCTATAAAGTAATGGGAGAAGGGGGAGAATGTTTCTTCTCGTATCTCTTCTAGTCACGCTTGTTTCCTATAATTTTGCTACATTTATTTAGGAATGTTTTGTGGTTATTGCTCTTTTCATTTATATTATCAAAGTTGTATATATTGTTTTCTTGACTGTGACTTCATGTCACTTCATGTAAGTCTTTCCATGTTTCTCTGTTTTTATCATATTCGTTGCTTCTGACAGCATAGTAATATTCCATTATACATTCATGTGTCACAAATCATTTAGCCATTCACCAATCAAGAAGCATGTACATTGTTTCTTGTTCTTTGTTACCACAAATCATACTCCCGTGAATATCTTGCATGTGGAGACCTTCTTTTTTAATCAGTGACCTCCTTATTATATATGCCTAGTGGAATCTTTGAGTCAAAGGATATGGATATTTTAGTCACTTTATTAGCATAATTCCAAATTGCTTTGAAAAATGATTATATTGATTCATAGTTCCACCAACCATGCATTAGAGTGCCCATCTTTCCACAGTCACTCCAAAATTGACTGGTCTCATCTTTTGTCACCTTTGGCAGTTTGCGGGGTATATAGTAAAACTTAAGGGTTATTTTGACATTCATTTTTCTTATTATCAGTGACTTGGAGCATTCTTTCATATAGTTGTCAATAGTTTGCAGTTCTTTTGAGAACTATTTGTTCATATTCTTTAATAACTTGTCTGTTAGGGAATGATTTTTAGGCTTATTTCTTCTAGATGTTTCTACATCTTGGATAATAAGCCCTAATTAAAAAAATATTTAATACAGAGATTGTTTTCCCAGTCAACCACTTCCCTCCTTATCCTCAATGTACTAATTTTGTTTATGCAAAAACTTTTCAATTTGACATAGTCAAAATTATCTATTTTATCTTTTATATTTGACTCTATTCCTTGTTTGGTAAAGAATGTGTCTCCTACTTATAGCTGTGAAAGGTATATAATCTGCTTTTCAAAATTTTTATGCCTTGTTTTTTAATATTCAAGTATCTTTTTAAAATGTATTGTGAAATATGTTGTAAGGTGTTGGTCTAAGCTAATTTCTGCCAGATTACTTTCTAGTTTTCCTTGTAGTTCTTGTCAAATATGGTATTCTTCATGTTTGGGGGTTTATCAGACTGTGTTATTGAATTGTTATTTCTGATTCTCCCTTGTCAAGTCTGTTCCATTCATTTACTCTATTTTTTCACAAATACAAAATGGTTTTGATGACTACTACTTATAATATAGTTGGAGGACTGCAAATATAACAACTGTATTTCAAGTATACTTGGAGAATTTTTTAAAAAATCTTTGCCAAACTGAAACTGAAAAATATTTAATTCAAGAAAAGATGAAACGGTATGAGAAAATCAAAGACATAATCATTTAGAATGTCATCATGCATATTGTTTGAGTATATAGATAAAAAAATTTTCATTTGTACTCCCAGGATTTAAAGCTGCTCATTGAATTTAACATTTTCTCATACTTGTAATCACCATGTAAATGAAATTCTGTTTTTGTCCCTAGGTAATCTCCTTTTTATTCATTGGCCTGATGTCTATGATGATTCCACTATGTAGTGTCTTTGGAGCACTCATCGCTGTCTGCCTTCTCATGGGTCTCTTTGATGGATGCTTCATTTCCATCATGGCTCCTATTGCCTTTGAGTTAGTTGGTGCCCAGGATGTCTCCCAAGCCATAGGATTTCTGCTTGGATTCATGTCTATACCTATGACTGTGGGTCCACCCATTGCAGGTAAATATAGCATGGTATTTAGTTATCTTTAGATAATTATTTCCTACTTTTGCTTCCTTTGAAATGGCCCATTTATATTCAAACTTATCACCACTAACTGATCAGCTATCGTCATTATTTTGCCTTTGTCTTTGCCATTATCTTCACACTCTTATTAAGACTAGAAGAAGAAATAGATAAGTTTTAATTTTGCACATAATTGCCAGGCATATTCTAATGGGAGAGGAGAGGGGAGGTTCTTAAGGATTCAGAGGAAGCAGGGCCATATTAAGCTTTTGAGACCCTTAGCCATAATAGGTCATTATATTACATATAATGCATGAAAACAACTGAAAACAAAATAAGACATCAAAAAAGTGTTATGTAATTGGAATAGTTTTGATTTCACAAGTACTTTTTTAGTCCTTTTCTGTGTAAATGCATTAGTTATTGATAAAAATCTAGATTTTGCATAATGAAATCCACAAGCATTTATTAAGCATTTACTATGTACCGGGCATGTGCTAAGCACTGGGGATAAAAATAAAGTAAAAAACAAAACCTGCCCTCTAGAAGCTCATAGTCAAAATGAGAGGGGCAACCTCCTAAGTATAAATACAGTGTGTGTTTGTATATATATGTGTGTGTATGTATATATACACATGCATGTATATACATGCGTATATATTATATATGTAAATGCATATATATACATGCATAGTGATATTAAATATAATAAAATCACTTTTTAAAAAACCCTTATGTCCTGTAGTGATTGTTTTTTAAATTTTGGTCCAGGCCTTGATTTCATCAGTGTAGAGAAGTCATAAATGTGGAAACTCCCTCTCTCAATGCAAATCAGCATCTGCTCTGTAATTTATAGGCTTATATTGTCTGGGACACTGAGAAATTAAGTGATTTGCCCTTAGTCAAATAACCAAGGACAGGACTTGAACGAGGGTTTGTTCTTGAATTAAAGACAAATCCCTATCTAGTGGGCCATGCTGCCCTCTCGATAATTTTTTACCTGCTAAGTTTTAGGAGCCCTTTGAGCTTTAGGGCCAGATCAAAAGGCCTTCCACAATAATTAATCCTATAGGGGGAGACCTTAGTTATTACTTCATTCTTGAAAGAGGAGTATTTTGAAAAGTCAAAGATATACTTTATTTAAAAAAAAATAAAAGGACTGTCTCATTGAGAGGGACATGTTTAGTGTGTTTGAGAAATATCATTAAGCTCACTATGTTACAGTTTTGTACATTGAAGGTTTTGGTCTATTTTGAAAAATGCTTGTTAGTTTCCATGTGATGCTACTTTAAGGATGTGGTAGAATAATAAAGTTTAACATGTAATGATAAAGTTTAATTGAATAATTTAATAATAAAGTTTAACAATAGATGGTGAGCCTCAACTAACCAAACACAGCTAAAGACCTGGAAAAAAGAGGTCTCTCAGTCATCAGAGTCTTTTTCAGGAAGTGCAGGCCATAAAGTTTATGTACTTTACTCATAGGAGAGCCCTTCATGGTCTTGGTCAGATACTGTTTAATCCTATTTTAATCACAAATTTTAAGACCACAGAAGATTACAAGAAGCAAATTAGAAGATAGGATAAGTAATGCAACAGGGCAGCTACTCTAAGAGAAAATAATGAGGAATTACAAATAAGAGACAGAAAACAAGGGAGAAGATAGAAAACCTATAATAGAGGGTGGGAGAGAGGGGAGAGGATGGGAGAGAATTTGAAAATAAAAAATAAATAACTGAAATAACTGGAAATAAAAATTTAAAAGAGAAAAAGAAAACCTATAAAATGTAGAAATAACTCAAGAAATACCTGTGGTCTGGGCCGGCCCATGGAGGGTAGAAGTACCTGAGTAGGCCCTGCAGGGGCTTATTCTGTGTACTGTAGCACAGCACAGTAAAAGAAAAAAGAATAGAGCCTACAAACTATAGACTAGGAAGCATGACTTTAATACTTGGCAAAAGTCTAAAACATATTATTAAAGGGATAGTTTGGAAAGATATGGGAAAGGAAAGAGAGATGAAGAAGAGCCAGCATGCCTTCTTAACAGACATCCCTCTTTCACATGACAACCCTTCAAATACTTGATCAGTCATTAAACTTATTTCCTTTTTTCACTGAGTTATTGAACTGAGAAGGGGATTGATGGAGATAGGCTATCCAGGAGGGAATGTCATTATTCTGGGGGGGACATGGGTAGGTCACAGAACCAACCTTTTTGCATATTTTAAAAACTTAGAATATTCCTTTAAATCTACTTCAGTTTCTTTTCTTTTTCTCCTCCTTCCAATGATTCCTTCAACTCCTTAAAATTGCATTTACCATGATATTTAGAATCAAGAGACTACACAATAAAAGAGTCTCCCTTTCATTGAAAAATAGGATTATAAGGTATAATGGACTGAAGAAAGGCATTAATATTTCTTGGATGTATTTTTTTAGAAGTCACCATAAGGAAGTGACACCTTATATGACATGCAAAATAAAGTTGGCATGCTCTTGGTCTGCAGGACAGGGGTTTCTTATGATATTTTACTATAATGGATGTATTTGCCACAGCCACTTTGACATAGTGAATAGGGCCTGATATATACAGCCAGTTCCTGAAAGCCTAACACATTAGGCTTTTATGACAGAAAGAAAACAGAGTTTTTCCTCCTTCTCCAATCATATAAATTGAGGCTTTGCAGTTCACACCCTCTTATCAAAAAATGTGTTGTATTTGATTGACAGCCTCTTAAGGCCGAGAACAAATAAGGGAAAATAGAGAATATCCCCAAGACACCAAGATTTGGATCCTTCCCTAAAAGCTACAGTGAATTACGTAAAGTGAGATGGCTGGTCTAGATGGCTCTGAGGTCCCTCCTCACTCAGATTCAAGGATCTGTCTCTCGATGACGACTTCTGTTCTTCCTAGGTTTGCTCCGGGACAACCTCGGCTCATATGATGTGGCCTTCTACCTGGCCGGGGTCCCACCTCTCCTGGGAGGAGCTGTGCTTTGTTCAGTCCCATGGATCCATGAGAAATGGAAACAAAAAGAAATGAGCATCATCGGAGGGGAGAAGCTGGAGAAAATGTTGGAAAATCAGACCACTCTGCTCCCGAGCTCAACTGGAATCATTAAGAAAGACTCCGATCCTGTTTTTTAATGCTCCAGGCTTCTGCCAGACTGGACTTGCTTTCCAAAGTTACAGCAAGTTGTCTTTTTTATGAATTGGAAGTTGTTTTCTTTTTTTAATAGCATTATAGAAATAGCATCAGAATGGTAAAACAATATCATTACCAGGCAAGAACCCTTTCTTATCATTCAAGAGCTTTCCAACATTTCTGAGACCAAGGGCAGGGACTTTGGGACTAGAAAAAAATGACTTGAAATCAAATCACACTTGTGTATGAGAGAAACATTTAGGCATCTCACAGGAAAATCAAAATCTGGAAACTGTGAAAGCTATTTAGCATGTGTAAAGATTATAAAATACCTCAAGCCACACTGGAAGGGTTGCAGTCTGATTAGGACTGGAAATCTTGCTTGGTCTCTATACTATTGTACTGATCAGTTCTGGTATCTCTGTTTGAACTTCTCTTGCTATGTTAAATAATAAAAAAAAGCATAGATCTTACTTCTACAGAAGACTGACACTTAAATTCTATGCTTTGCTGCTGATAAGTCATGAAATGTGTTCACATAATATCCTGAACTTGTTCCAGAGTGAATTTCTGTTTTTGAGTCAAATGAGGCCTTTTTTGGGGCAGGAGCTGAAATGTATGCACATTTAATATGTGAGACACAAATGTCTCCAATGTTCCTAGGAGCAGTGGTACAGAATTCAGCCATTTCTTCCATTTTATCTTCTCCACTATGGGCCTACAGTGTGTTTTAACACTTGAATAGCCTGTAATTTTCAGTATCTAAACAAACCAACCAATCCCAACCCAAATTAATTAAAGACTTTGAATCCCAACCCTAAAGTATACTAGAATGAATTAGAGAGAATTTGATAACTTGTATTTTAAATTCTTTTGCTCTTCTGGGTCTGTTAGATCCAAAAAGCTGACTCTTTTTTAGATGCATGTTAAGCATGCACCAAGCTGCAGTTATACGCACAAATAGACAAAAGTCTTGTATTCATGTAGACAGTCTCCATTTCTAATAGAACTAGTTGCTTAAACTCTCCTATATGAATGTAAAAGGTCTGCTGTGACTCCAAATTATTTGTGAAACAATCTTCATACCCATAAATATCTGGAAAATATATTAATAATTATTTGTCTGTCTTGGTTCCTTTTCTATTAAAATTCCTTCTACTTCTGTCCTAAAAGCAAAGTCCTAACCAATTCATCCCTTATTCACATTAAAAACAAAAAACAAAAGCTTTCTCCTTGACTTCAGGATCAGTCTATATTTTTGTTTTTGTTCAGGTCGTTGCAAGTTAATGTTCAAGATGTACTTAAATCCTAACTCTGTATGCAAATAATTTTGGACACACATTAAGATCTTCCTTAGAGATAGCTTTTGCACACCTGGGGAGATTGCCTGTATTTGCCAGATGCCTTTCTTCCTTTCCTAAGTACCATTTGGCTCTTTCTTTTTCTAAATACTTCTCAAATCGTTTGCCTGTCCTGGGAGAGAGGGAGAGGTTAGGAAGGGGAAAGTAAGATAGGGTGGAGAGAGCAAGAAAAGTGAAAATGGATCCAATTCTTCTTCTCCCTTCTCAGTTTAGGTACGAAGAAGGTAGTTTGGTACTAGAAAAATACGGCTTGAAATCAAATCAAATTTGTCTGTGAGAGAAGGTATGTTACTTCCACACCTTGCTTCTGGCTAGGAGAACTATCTGAAAGAATGAGAAATTGTATGGGTGATTTGTTACCTTTTAGGGGAGGGAGGTGTGGTTGTAAGTTGAAATTTTGTGGAAAATTCAGTAGCTTTTTTCTATGTTTTTTGGCAGTAGTTTACTTGCTGTCTAGCAACTTGAAAATTCAAAGTGCACCTATTAAGTATGATATCTAGTTTTATTAGGATTTTAAATAATTTACAGTATAATGACAGTCTCAAGTTGAAACTTTCATTCCTATTTTATAATTATTCAGTTACCTATATAATTTGTCTATGCAAAATTCTGTTAAACATTCTTCGTTTGTTTCTATTTTTTCTCTAGGTCTTTATATTTCAGTTAAAAACAACCAACCATACATGCTTTGATCATACCACCTTCTAATACTTATAGGTAGAGGTGTTTTATAATTATTCGTAATTGCATATAAATTAACAATCTCCTAATTCATGACCTGTTAGGTCTTTTTTTGACAATGTGAAGTGATACTTTCTTATTAAAAAATGTTTTTGAGAGGTCTACAGAAACATCTATGATTAAGACCAATCATAAAGGTTGCCAATATAAAGCTTATTTTCCAATTATCATAATATTTGAGCATAGTCTAAAAAGTTTTATACCAAGCAAGAGTTCACTGGTCAGTTTTTACAAAGTAATTAGATATCTGCAAAATAGAAAATTCACTCCATAAAAGCTTCGAAACCTTTTGTTTTTACAATTCAGCTGGTTTTGGAGAAAGAAGTAGTTGACTAAAATCTGAAAAAATGGTGGGTTTTTTTTTTGGTTGCCATTTTCCATATTATAAAACAGCTAAATGACTTAAATGTTCGTAATAAAAAGAATAAGTTTTCAGCAATGTTGTGTGTTTGTGTGTATATTGCGTATATGTAGTTTTTATATCATGGCATTAACTAAAATGGAAGTATAACATTGATAAACTCTAAATTTTTTTTAATTTATTGCTATCAGTATATAATAAAAGTTATTGTTCACTAAAGAACAAAAGCCACTTTTATATGATTACAAGAACTGCTAAATTCTACAAGGAACAACTTATTTTGTGAAAGAGTATGTAGAATGTAGCCCCAAGATATACATGGTCTAAGATATAAAGACTAAGAAAGTTAAAGGCTATGACAAATGGAGATAAATTCTTTATGAAAGTTTCAAGCTAAGTGATATTATTTTAGGATTTCCCTCAAAATAAATGCTTTTTAATTTCTAATGTGGGACAGAATAATACACTGAATGAAGATGACCTATGGTGCCCTGGTTTGGTTTTGTTTTTATCCAGAGACATTTTTATTTAGGAGAAGGTCCAACCCTAGAATTCTTTGGTGTTCTGTTCTTCCCTTGAAACTCGGATAGGGCACCTCAAATGTTCAAATCATATTGGGAGGTGAAGTAAAAAAGTTCTTTGATTTTACCCAATAACTCTAGGTCCGGTTTCAGGATAATAGATGCCAACGGAATATAAAAATTCTTTTACTGGATTAGGATTCTGTTTTCATAAATGTCACTTGGGAGGAAAATGGGTCATCCCTTCATAATGCATTACTTAGATCCAGAGAATGTTCTGTAAGATTTTGTGACTTTCAGATCATCGTTGGAGCATTCTTTGAACAGCATTATTTTAAGATTTATAATCCTGTATATATATTTTTTGTTTCATACAAAATAAAGGTAAAAAAAATGGAGACTTTTTTCCATCCTCAAAAACACAGACATGACTTTTATCCAAACTTTTAATTTCCATTCATCACAAAAAATAACTCATGTTGTATTATGCTGTCCTATAAATAGATAAAACTATCTATAAGTGATTAAATGGGCTCTACCCAAATTTGGAGAAACCTTCTGTGACCACTCACAACCATTAGGGTTTGAATATTAGCTTTGACCTAAGCTAAGTATGGTTGAGAGTTAAAATGTCTTTCTCAGTTATAAAAATATGCCTCTTTAAGCCTGGAAAATTACTGGTCTAAAATATCAGTAATGGGTCTATTCTTCTAGGGGGTGTGCTTTTTTTTTTCCTATCTTATTCTCAGAAGTGTAAGGCAGTGTGGCATATTGGATTGCAAGCTGGCCTCAAGGCCAGGAAGACTTGGGTTCAAGGCCTGCCTCTGACATCTGCTAAATATGCAACCCTGGGCAATTTAACTTAACTTTTCAGTACTCTAAGCAACTCTCTCTTTTTTAAAAAAAATAATATTTTATTTTGGCCTAGTTACATGTAAAAACTATTTTTAACATTCGTTTGTTAAATTTTTGTGTTCCAAATTCTCAACCTCCCTCTCTCCCCGATTGTGAAAGCAAGCAATTTGATATAGGTTATGCATGGTAGGCAACACTCTTTAGTTTTTGTGAGACTAAGTGACTTGCCCAGAGTCACACAGCTAGTAAGTATCAAATGTCTGAAGCTGGATTTGAACTCGCGTCCTCCTGACTCCAGGGCCAGTGCTCTATCCACTGCACCACCTAGCTGCCCTAGGCAAAGCATAAATTACAGTAAAGGGGCTGATTCGAATTGGTAGTGGTAGTCCCCTAACCTGGGAGCTCCGTAGACTAGTGAAATCATAGGTCCAGACTCTATGCTCAGAAGTAAATCCATATTTATATTATTAATGGACCCCTGACAGAACATTGTCAAATTTTATCTAGTTTTGAATGAATCTAAGTTTAAAAATATATTTATACAAAATCCATATTTTTTTCTGAAGCACTCTCTCTATTTAGCCTGTAAATGAGGTAGGGTGTAATAATGAGAAGAATGACTGGATCTGAGTGTTCCAAGGTCCTGGGTTTGAATCCTGGCTGGGCTGCTTTATGCTGGGTGTGTGACCTTGGGCAATTATTTGACCTTTTTATTCCCTCATTTTTTTGGTACATAAACTTGTTTTTAAAAAATAGTTTTATGACTTTCAATATAATTGATTTCTTTTGTATTCCTATGTGTTTTATTTTATTCACTTAATGACATTATTCTGAGAAGGTATCCAGAGGTTGCAACAGACTGCCTGAAGGGGTCATGATACACCAAAGATTTAGAATTCCTGTTCTAAATGTTCTCCAAGGTTTCTTCCATCTCTCCATACTTTTGTGAGGCTATGAATGCATACATATTATTATTCCATTTTGTCAATATTACATTTCCTACATTTGGGTGGCCTTTAATATTATTAGCTCACTAAAAAGGTGAGTTGTTGTTGTTTTAAATCAGTAGACCTGATTTAGGCAACCTATGTCTTGAGTAGCAGTGAAGCAGCTGGTTGTACACTTTTTACTATAGACACCTCTCTTTCTTCCTTTCTTCTAATGATAATCTCTTTATTTTCCTTCCTCCTTTTCCCTCAAAAAATCATTGCCAGTGGTATCCTGGAGCATTGCTTAGACTCCATTACTAATGCCTCAGATTTTGAAGTTTCTGATCTTGCCTTGGGTGACCCAACCATGATAGAGTTTGCTAGAGGACTCCAAAATTTAACTTATGGAGAATTGAAATGGATAAAAATGACTAATCTATATGAACACCTTATTGTTAAAGAAACTGTAATATTAAGCCATTATCTGTCTGGTGAAAGGAAAGGATGAGGTTGTCAATATGTTTTTGTTAACCATGTAAGATATGCATTTTATTAATATTTTTTAATGTTTCAAAGTTAAATAGTTTCAATAGACAAGTTCTTGGTATAAATATTTTCCTGTAGTGCTTTTTGCTTTAATTTTTATATCCTATCTTAGCCTCCTTATGAGAGGCAGCCTGGTATACCAGCAGGAAGCTAGGTGGC